CCCTGACCTGGCAGGGCATGGGAGAGCGCTTCTCCCCAGGGAGGTCAGAACAAAACCTCTCACCTGCACCTACAGCATAGCAGAGCTAAAAGGCTCCTTTGCTATTCCAGTGACATCACTGTTCTCTTCTCCCAGTTGGGATGACATCCATTTGAGTCCTTGCCAGATCCCAAGTTGCGCAACTGCAAAATGTATTTCCAGTAGGGTGCTTTCAGCATAATTTCAGATACAAAAGATAAGAAACATGTGACTGGGGACAGAGGTGGAATTCAAGATTGTGGATGAAAGAAATGTGCTAATTGTTTGTGCCAACTGTGGCCCTTAGGAATCCTGTTTCTATTCAGTTCCTTCCCAGTAAAGCATCCCAGGCATTTGAAATTACTTTATTTTCAGGCTACTGGCCTGCAGCTACTTCTGGGGTAGGACACGGTATCCGTAAAGTATTTGTGTCATGTTGTATAACAATGGGTTGGGTGAGAAACAGGCTGTTCAGGGGAAAACTTCTGTTCACACAAAAAAAAAGCCCCAAGGGCTTTTCATCTGTGGATTATGTGAACAGCAGATAAACCTTAATTAAAGAAGTGCTCAAAAATAACCTGTATACAGCAGAAGCTCCTGGAAAGCAATTTGTCTTCCTTGGAAAACTAAAAGGGTGAGTCAGCCCTGCCAGGATGCATTCAAAACCACCTCAGTGGAAAACAAGAAATCTGTCTGTCTTTATCTCCCAAGTGTTCATGACATCTTGGCTGTAGTATCGTGGCTAGAATAAAGTCACTATTATTACTAGTGTTTGCATGGAATCTAAAGTTCCCAGCCAGAAATCAGCTCTGGTAGGGATAGGTTTCAGATATTAGTATTCCATCACCCTCCTCCCCTTCATTTACATATTTATGTGTAAAGTAAACTCACACTAATACTTAATACTGACTTACTCATGATACTGTTAGGGTACATGCAATGTATTGCCATTTACACAGAGAAAATGTCCTCTGATTCATTTAGTTTTAAACAAACTGTGGATCCTGTAATGTCAAAAAGGTATCACTGAGGCATGTGGGTGAAGAACCAAACATCTATAAAAGGACATAGTCAAAAATGTCCATTTTTTTATTCAGACCATCCTCACATACCCAATGAAGCCAGTACACAAAGCTTTGCCTCTTTAAAACACACATTTATGTCCCTACCTACACAGCCCACAGCATCTTTCCAGTCCTAGAGGGCTGATCCTCTCACCATCCCCATCTGCTTGTCTGCCACACCTCCAGGTTTCTAGGACATCCCTTCCCAGGCAGACTGTTCCTGTAAGTGAGAATCTCCTTGCTATCACGTAGCTGAGAGAGTAGGAGATAAGAAATTAATGTTAAATCGCAGATAGGGCAGAGGTTAGTTCTTAGGTACCAGGAATGTAGAAATTTCCTGGAGCCATGACAAGAAGATTTCTAATCCTGGTCTGCTTTTACACCTTCCATCTCCAAACTCACAGCTTATGGGGTGGGGGAGGGAGGTGGTTAAATTATGTCAAAGCATTAAGGAAGTATTACTATAACCTTTAAATGTCTCCTGTGCTGGTATTTCAGGAAAGGAGAAATGAAGAACCTAGGTGTTTTCTAGATGTTCCATGTGTTTGCAGCCACATACAGGCAAAGAAAGGAGAGGGCTGAGTGCTTTGGTCTTTGCTTGCTGTTAGTCCACTTGTCTCTCATGGTGTATCTCATTGCCTTTCCTTGGAAAAATAATCACATTGTTCTGTGTTCTGAATGCTGGGGTGGAGAGACCAAGAAAGAACTTACTGTTTCACTGAAAGGTGTTTGAATATTACACAGCTCCCTCTGCATCTCTCTCTAGCTCTCCTTTTCCTGGTGTTTCTCTGCCCTCCAATATATAGCATGGATCAAATTCCTCCATGTTCATCCTAGGAACAGGCTGCTGTATGCTATAGCCATGCTATATGCTCAGCCATCACCCTGCTATCCTGCTCTTTTCTATCCTTAGTTATGAGCTCTTCTTAAACATGACACCAAATCCCAGAGCCCTTTGATGCACGTGGCCATCTCCCAGTATTCTGAAAACTGCGTGCTGGGAGCCCAGATTTACAGCTTACACACCTTTCTCCAGAAAAGGCATCAATACTGCCCAGAGCCTGGACATCCATAGAACCATTGACACTTATCAAAAGCCCACCCATTTCACCCAAGTGAAATATGATACATTATTATTATTGGAGAAAAAAACACAAAACAAACAACTGTGTTCTTCATGCAAAGAAATATGGGCCCGAAGTCATTCCTTTCTCAAAACACCTGTGCAGAAGTATGTGTGGAAACCTTTCCTTCAGATATTTAGGTGAATTGGTGTTGAATCACCCAAACACCTGTGCTATTTGTGGGGTTAAGATGCGTCTCGGCCCATGCTCTGTTCTTGACTAGAACACAATGTATGTTCTTACTGATGTTACTCAAGGCTACTTGGGCCTAGACTCACAAGGAAATTTAGGCATCCAACTCCCAGTGATTTCCCAGGATCGAGTTACCTCAGTGTTTTTCATGGGCCTGGCTCCACACGACCTGATTTGTCTCAGAGGCAGCATTTAAGGAGCAGAATGTATTAAAAAAAAAGACCAGCTGCCTCCCCAGAAGGAGTGAAGCACGGACATGTGAAAAGAGAGAAAAGGCTTTCACGCTTTGGGAAGTGAGGAAGCAATTTAGCACACAGAACAGTTTTTTTTTAACCCAGTTAAATGGTGTGAAGACACCTGGCTAGAGGATGGCACCTGTCAGCACAACCTGTCTTCAAGGCGAGGAAACAGAGTTCCTTTATTTTCCCAGGATGACTATGGTGATGGTGGGTAAAACACCCTCGAGAAAGAAAAGGTTAATTCATCCCTCTGAAGGCCTGTGCAGGATTGTTCCCCAGGGTATAACTAGCAGGGTTTCAGCTCTCCAGTTTAACAAATCCTCTAACAACAGAGCTTCCACCCTTTCTTCTACAAGAGCCTCTCATATGTAGGAAAATTCCCCTCTATTTTATGGTGCCTAGATTAAAATAAGATGACAGTCAGGCAGATGGATGAATGTTATTCACTCGTGTACAGTGGCTGCAAAGAGAGGTAGAAGGCAATCTAAGCTAGGCCAATTTAGATACTTCTAGTGAGCCTTCTTAATAAATCCATACTCTCCTCACCTGTTTTGTTATTCTCCCTTCTGTTTGTCACCCTGTTTCTCTTAATCTGGTGGTCAACCTCAATGTCCTCTACCACCCTGAAGCTCCAGCAGCTCCAGCAGTTAAATGTAAAAAGGCACTCACTACTGCTTATATTGCCTTTGCAGGCTGGGTGACAGAAAGTAGAGCCTGAAGTGAGTCCCCTGAAGGGGACACGAAGTGGATGATGTTCAGGATGATGTTCATGTTTCTGGAGCACAGAAGCTCACATGGGAAAACACTTGCCTTGGGTCTGGTCTGGGCTCTGTGGAGCATTTTGGTGGTTCTGGGGCACAGGCTGGATTCATATTTCAATACAAAGCTCCCAGAGTCTCAGAGACAGGACTGGGTTGGAACTTGAGAAGGTGGTGCTTTTATAGCTCATGCCAAGGGTGTGTGTATACCCTGGGCTGTGGCCTAAGTGTATGAGCGTACTCCAGGGAACAAGGACTGTGGGGACTGTATCAAAGCTCTTGAGTGTTTGGCACAGTCAACATCCATGCTCTTGCTTGAGGCTGGATCCTGATGCGTACTGTACTGTCAGTTGTGTCTAGTCTCCTTTTGGGAGGGAAATACTTGTGTCACTCCAGCAGGAACCAGTCGGCAGGCATTCAAATCAAGGGATCAAAGCCTAGAAAGGAAGCAGGAAGGTATCCAAACTGACAGTGTAAATCTACTCCCAAAATAGCCCATATTGAAGAAATCCAGCAAAAGGACCATGTGAAAAATTTCACTTGAACTATGCTTTGATTAGAAAAGTCCATCTAAAGAATAGGTGATTTTTCACTCAGATGTGCTTAGATAGAAATGCAAGCTTGGAAGTCACTGGACTAAAGAGAAATTTTGTCTTTTTAAGCTCAAACTATGTGATTTGCTTGGCTGTGTTTGGGGCAGTTTGGGCAAGTATGGTTGCTGCTATGTGGACTTTTTTGAAATAGCACCTTCAGACTCTGAATCCATAGTCTACTGACCATGAGCAGGTAATGAAACCCAGAATTATCAATGTCGCTCTCTTCCTACCTTTTCTTTACCAGTCTCTTTTTTTTTCCTTGCTTGCTTAGTTTTGGAGTCCACAGAATTTTTCAGGGAATTGTTATTTGCTTAGCTTTGGACTCCACAAAAATTTTTAGGGAATTGTTATTAACCTCTGGTGGCTCAGAGTGCCTGCCCTCATGAGAGCTGGACATATTTGCTTCTGATCTAGCTGCACCCAGGGCACAGAGGCTAATTTCCTGCTCAGACTTGCTCCCCTGGGATCTTGAGCAGACAGCTGCTGAGATTCCCCAGAGTCCAGGCTTATGCAGGTTCTCCAGAATGAATTCCACAGGAAGCATAAGCTTATGTCCCTCTCCTACCCCATTCCCTCCATGGAAACACAGGGCATCCCATCCTTCAGGCCTGTCAACAGCACTCAGCTTGGTGTTCTCTGCAAAAATGCTGGTGTCACTGTGACTGAGGAAGGCATTAAATAGCACTGGTCCCCATATGGATCCCTAAAGGCCACCACTTGTCATCAGTGTCTACAGGGGCTCCAAGTTGTTGACCACTATCCTCTGGAAGTAACTGTCCAACAAATTCCTCACCCTCCAAAGAATCCTCCCATCAAATCTATCTCTCCAGTTTAGAGAAGGATGCCACTGGGGACCATGTTAAAGCCCTGCAGAAGTCCAAATGGTGACATCTGTAGCCCTTCCCCTGTTCACTGGAGTAGTCACTCCATCACAGAAAACCACTAGGTTAGTCAGGTGGGACTTGCCCTTTGTGACACCACCACTGCTTTATACCTAGCACCTGCACAAAGGAGAAAAGGTGCTTCTTCTCCTGAACTACAGCTGTAGCTGGGTGAAACCCTGTGGCTGCCACCTGTGCCTTCAGTCATACACAGCAATTAAACTTCAGGAGGGACAAAGGTGTGTATCCCAGCTGAAATTACAGGGTGAGCTGAAGAAAGCAGAAACCAGGATTTTTGACTGGGATCTGGCAAGGCCAGTAAAGTAAGCACTGCCTTTTTTACTGTTCCATTAACCTGCTGGTCAGACCTCTGTCTTTTGTTTCTCCAGTCTTGAAAGAGAGCCTAGCCCCAAGCATCACCTTTAGCCAACATCTTCCCCATTCCCTGAGGAGCACCATACAGTCTTTCAAGTCATCAGAGCTGCTCTTAGCAAAACCCAAAAAAAACCAGAGTTGTAGGTCTACACAAACCTGAAACCACCACAGAAGTCCAGTGCCAAAAGCAATGTCATATGAAGAAAGTGGAGCTTCATTTCATTGATTCCAGTGACATTTTGCTAGAGACAATTTTAACAAGACTTCTGTTGTCCACTGCCCCAAACTTACAAATGGAGACACTGTTAAGTTCCAGAAGGACTCTGAGCATAATTAAATTAGTATTTGTAGTGCTGCAAGAACCTCAAATGTGCGGGGTGTAGCTCAGTAAAGCATTGTGCAGTATTTATGCCATGCTCTTATCTTCTTCCTCCTGTCACTGCAGGACAAGGACATCCTAAAAGGGGGCTTAAGTGTCTGACAGAACCTGAAAAGGTCTCCAGAGGGGACGTGTATGACACAGCTTCTTTCACCCAAGAAGCTGTGCTTGACTGCCTGAGACCATGCCTGGTTTGTGTAACTCCAGTGCTTCCCAAGGTCTGTAAAACTGATCATTTTGGCCTGTGATTGCAGCTGTCACTCCTGAGTAGCACAGTCATGAGGGCATAATGTTGTGCCATTCCCCTCTCCCCTCTTCCTTCTTCAGGTGGGTCCTCGCCAGAGTGAGGGCATGGTTTTGACTGGGAAGATCCTGAACACCAGACTCAGTAACCCCAGGGGATTAATCCCTTTTCCTAGAGCCTGGCACTGAGCTATGGGAAATGCACATGTGGCTTTGAGCCACATCATTTGGTTTCCTCCTTAGCTCCTTTACTGTATTCAACCCTATTGAAAAGGGGGGAGGGGGAGGCGATCCTGCAGTGCCTGCTGCAAAAACCCCTTTGTGGACCCTGCTATTTTAGTGCTATAAAGACCCCTGGCCAAAGGGAACATGTTGAATGGATGAGATAGGGAAAAAGCCACAGGTCTTTGGATCCTCTGCTTCTAATGGCTAGTGTATCACAGCCACATTTAAATAGCCATCCAGATCTTCTCCCAAGTCTTCCTGCTCCAGAAAAACTGTTATTTATTTCAATTTTTCACCACCCAGTCTTCCCATTTTAAAGCTGTTACTAAAAAAGGGCTTCAATAAGTATTTAGTATCTTGTTCATAAAGTCTTCTAGTTTTTTTTTTCCATCCTTCAACCAAGAAGCATGTCAGTAGCCTCAAAGCACTGCATATTGCAGTGTCTTTTTCCCAGGCACACAGTTTAGATGACACTGCAACTGGTGCACCTGTAGCAGAACTGTACTCTACATCCAGAAACCCCTGTGTGGGGGGCTTTACTCAGAGGCCCCCTGGAAGAGAAGCTGAGGGAAAAGGGACCCTGGTAAGAACTCCTAGGGTGGCTGGGCAGGCAGAGTGCACAAAGCTACTTCCACTTCTTTCTACTCTGATGTTATGGAAATAGGGATTCCATCCTGAGAAGGACTAATGGGTTTCTGGAATAGGAACCTTCCTCTCTCAGGAACCCATGCAAAGCCAAACAGAAAGCATTGTGAAACTTGCACAGTTGATCTAACAACAGAAAATGGACAGTGTTTCCACTTCTCTCAGTAAGGGCCAGTTCACACTGAGCAGCTTTGTCACACACTAAAGAGGATACAGTGGAAAACCTCCAGGGTCTGCTAGACCTTCCCTGTACAGTGCAGCATGGCTGATTTTTTTCATCCATTCTGCAGGAATGAATTGCAGGAATTCTGCGGGAATGGTTTGTACCAGTCTCTGGACATTTGTCCCAAAAACTGACTCTCTGAGTTCCTATGGCAATTGATTCCCTTGGTGAACTAAAGAATTCCTTCCAGCGTTTCAGCTGGCCCCTGCATCTTGTCCATGCTGACATTAGTTTGTTTCTGCTTGCTTAGTAACACTCCTTCATATATCAATAGCTCTCAGTTGTCATACCAGCTTCTTTGTCAGATCGCTCCTCCTAGTCCTCTTAAACACTAACCAGAGATCTTACTTGATTACTGAATTTACATTTGTTCTACTGAGAAATTACTAAAATGTCTCCTCAGCTTCAATGAATAATGAAACACTATACTTACAAAAATAGTAATTAGCAATATAGCTCGAAATAAATCAATGTGTGGATCAGACTCCCAAAGGCAGGAGGAAAAGCTGCAGCCATTAAAATAGGTGGAGCTGAAAATAGCTAAGCACTTGGGGATAAAGAAAGGGGGAAAATGCTTAAAGGAACTTATGAATGACCATGTCCTATGGATAATTAGCAATCCACACAGTTTAGATTGCTAACGCTGTCCTGAATCTGACTGCTCCATTTCCTGTCAGTTCCCCCCAAATACTATTCATCACATTTAGGAGCTTTCTGAGGATGTCAAGCAGCTGAAGCAGCTAAGAAAAGTAAGAAAAAATAGAAGAAAGTCAAACCCTCATCAGCAGTATTCCAAGAGTTTCCATCAGGGCTCCTATCGTCCTTCCTTCCAGATGAAGGAAGAGGTGCTCACTCTAAGGAAAAACCAAATGTATAAGGATTTATAACACTGACAACCATTATTATTTCTACATCCTTCGGCCAGGTCTCCTTTGTGGTGTCAGAAAGGAAGCAAAGAAACAAGCAATGGGAGACAAGACAATGGGAGTGTGTTGAAAGGGCATAGGGAGCACACTGGTTTACAAAGGAAAAGCAATTCAGATACTGCAGCAGCCAGCTTATTTTCCCCTAGCACCATCTAAATACAGTGTTATTTTTTGGTAGAAAGTCATGATTCTGCTTCTTCAGGAAGTCACAGGACAAGGTTGGTTTGTGCCAGATCAATTTATTGACCCATTAACAATAAAAATATAAAACTGTTCATAAGACACATCTTTGGAGTCAAGCATACCATAGGTCTCCTCAAACAACCCAGATTATGGTATGCAAATGTCTACATTATGTGGTCAGGTCATGTCACTTATTGTACTATACTTTTCATATTAACTGGTCCTTCTGTCAGGAAAATAGAAACAATACATGAATCATGCAATCTCCATCACAGTGAATTATTATCTATCTAAAATTTTAGCCCAGGAGTGTGGTGGTTTGTTTTTTTTTTTCCTTTCCTTTTTTTTTTTTTTTTTTCCCTTTTTTTGTAACTCTTTTCCATCCTTCCCAGTCAGGGAGAGGAAATCATATTGTACAACTATCATCAACTGCATGTCACAAACACACACATATGTAAAAACATAGTGGAGTAAGTGAGGAAATTGCAAGGAATACACTGCCTGAAGTCAGTTTGCATAATGAATTCACTAAAATTCACTATTGAAATTAAATCAGAAATTAACCCTAGATAGAGAATACTTTTCAACAGATTAAATTCAACAAGACTCGTTTGATCCTTTCAAGAAAGAATGAGTTATGAATGTACAAACACTTTCTCTACTCTCTCAAACCATCCACTAAATTTTCAGAATCTGCCTGATCCTTAGAATATCTGAGGATACTCATGTAGAATTGCACCTGCTGGGGCTTTCAGGTGACTAACATTTTGATTTCAGTGCAAAACAGAGAAAAAAAGTTTTGGCATGTAATTTCTTTTGGTTGCAGAAGCAATTCTTTTGGAGCCTGAAGAAAATATAACACATTCCCACAAGACACCTGTATTACAGATTGTACTCTCACAGGACTTTACCATGAATTATTAACATTTTAGTATACATTCCTATGTTTTAGCTCTAGTGGTTCCCTATAAACTTGGCTCAAAGAAGAATTAAAGGGCCAGGTTTTAAGGAATGAATGGTAGGATCTTAACAAATGTCTCATTGCCTTAATCCTATTGAAACCAGTGCGAATTAGGCACCAAGGCTCTCTGAAAATCCTTCTAGACTCCCGCCTATATAAATCTTATTTGTTAGGGCAGTTCTGTAAATTACCTAATACCACCCTGCCGGTGTTTGGAAAAGGGCTTGTAAATATCTGCTGCAAGATTGCAAAGTAAAACAAAGTAGCTTAAAGAAGACTTAAAGCGCTAGTAGGAAATCTGGATATTTGGAGCTTAGGAAACTCAGGGGTATAAAGGGATTACACTAAAATCTTGGTCCTAGTTTTTGCAGTTGGAAGTTAAAAGTTAAAATGCAGGAGAGAAAAGTTTGGCATAGGAGAACAGAGGATTCCAGTGTTAAGGCAGCTGACAGATGGCTGTCCTACACCCCTGCCCCACCTTGGCTGCTGATTCCTCTGTTATCCTGGCCCGTGCTTTTCATGGGGTCATTCCAAGTGACAAGTTCTGCATCTCTGAGTAGCTGACTTCAGACACCTTGAGTCTCACTTGGAGCAGTGCCGAGCACTCAGAGCTGCAGCTGACAGTAATGGGAGATGTTTTCAGATATGAGCAACTGAAAACAAAAACTATGAATAAAGGTCAGGCCCTCTGTTTCTGAAATTCAGGACATAAAACTATGGCATCCTGCTGACCAAACTCTTTGTGCCTCAGCTATCCACCTGCAAAAATGGAGTAAAAATACTCATACTCAGTTATCTCACACAGGTATTGCAAAGATTTACTAAGTGATATTAGGGATGTGCTCAGAATCACAAGACATCTCAGAGAAAATGAATATTTCTGATTTCAGAGCAAGGTTTGAATACTATTAAGCAAAGTTGTGGGGGATCACAAGCTGACTTATGATAATTCAAAATACTGAGTAACTGCTCATTAAGTGAGCAGTGTCCATTCTGTGACCTGAATGAGGTCAGAATCCCTGAAAAGAAAAATGTGTTCCTGTTATCAGAAGTGTACTGAAATGCATTCACAGGAGGAGACCACACAGAGGTTGCACAGACAGCTACATTCCCAGTGTTGTCTTATTTTTTTTATATTTGCCTTAGCATCTTTAATAACTTTCTTCTAACATATTTTCTCTGTGGTCTTCACCACACATATATTAGCTCATATTGCACCTGAAGTCTAAATCCATTTCCACTCCCAATAATGTGGTATAACTCAACTTTTCCCCAGATTTCTAAAATGCAATTAACTACATCATGGGAGCTCAAACCTCTTGGTTTCATCAGCATCTTACAAAAGCCCAAAGCAAGTTTCAATGTCCAAGAGGTGTCAAGCCCCTATCCAGGACGCTTAGGCAAGGTGGGGGATTTTTCAACAAGCAGCTCCCAGGCAGAAACAAGCAATGGATTGCCAGGGTGCCAGCATCCAGTGTGGGATGGGAGACGAGGCTGGGTGCCCAGCTGAGTCCCAGAGCTTGTAGGACTCACTTCCCAGGTGGCCTCAGGAGCCCCTGGGAGCTTCCTCCCACAAGGAGATACAGATAAAAAAGCGCTCATAAGATCAGCAATGTGCTGGCAGTAATACAACATCTCTCCATAACCCCAAGCTGCACCAGGGAAGGTCCAGGTTTGACAGGAGGAGGAGTTTCTTCACAGAAAAGAATGCCATGCGTTGGACTGGGCTGTCCAGAGAGGTGGTGGAGTCACCACCCCTGGATGCATTCCAGAAGTGACTGGATGTGGCACTCAGTGCCATGGTGTAGTTGA